TAAAATTATATAAAAAGTTTAAGCAAAATCAATTAGCAATTTTTTTAAAACAATTTCCGCAAAAATCGACATTTTCAAATTATTATAAGAATCTTGAAAGCATATGGGCAAATTTTTGTCTTGCATATACAGTAGAACCTGTCCGATGGAATACCTCTCTGTAGGGAAAACCTATGAACAAGGAATGCTTTTCAAAAGAACCAAATATTTTTCCATTGACTTACATGTTAACGGACCCTCTCTGTAGGGAAAACCTGTGAACAGGGAACAAGGAACACTATTTTGGGGCAAATTATAAAAATTCACCTGTGAACAAGGAATATGGAATATTGGTGACACTGTATATTCCATTATTTTTCAGAGGTGTGAAAGTCTTAAGCCAATATCTGAATATAAAAAGCTTGGATTATATGATTGAGATTAAGATAAGCCAATTGCTTACATGATGTAGCATCCCACCCACTGTTAATTACCCTGATTTATTTTAAAACTAATACTAATCTGTTTGTTACTTATTATCATGAGCTAATTCTTCCTTTCAAAAACCTAATTACATCAATCAGTTGTGATAATCTAGGGACTGACACAATTGTTTTATGGAGATAACAGAAAGTAAGTACATGGACATGTTGAGCCAAATCTCTTTAGATCTTTTACTGATCCAACTTCTAGATTATCAATGATATAAAATGGGGTTGATGAAACTTGAAATTCAGTTCTTAGCACTATATCTCTACACATCATATCAATAATTACATCAACTGGACATCATCAGACGCTAACAGCAGCTAAAATCAACATGGGGAAAACATAACCAAGTATGGAGTCGGCATTTGTACAATCAATCAATATATATACAAATATGCTTATTCGGCAAGTTTGAGTTTGCTGAAAGTGTGGCCCCTCTCTATAGGGAAAACCTCTGAACAAGGAAAGTTTCCTCCAGTCCCAAGAGCATTCCCTGTTCGCAGGTTTTACTGTATTCATTCCCTTGTCATCCTCATTGTTTCCCCATCTTTCACAGCCCTCCCAAGAGATCTAAATACCATCATAAGACATTTATATAGATTTCCAGGAATCGTGTAATTAATAGTATGTTTTTTATCACGCCTATAGCAATATTAGTCTATATGTACAATGATTGTTCAACAATTTGTTTTACTGCTGTAATGTGATTCAGCTATCCTTGATGATCAATCATATCCAGTGATCAAATGTGGATATTTTCTCCAATTGATTTTAGCATTTGGAGGCACATAATTTCAATGCAGAAATCTTGAGAACAAACATTTTTTATTTATTTCTACACAAGTGCATATAAATGTAAGTACTGATTGTAATTGCACTAGGATTTGCTCTGGAAGTCATTTTTTCTCAGGCACATTGTTGTAATAGTTGTCATAGTTCCCACGAGCAGGCTCTATTTCTACCTCCCATAACCTATTGGAGCTCTTTACTTTACATGTAGTCCAGGATGCTACATATGTTCCAGTGATAACAACGAAGTCTGCTGAAAAATATAGTTCTTGCAAAAGTACATGTTGGGGACTATTTTTATGTAGGATAGAAAGGGGCATATCAAGATTGACTATAAGAATGAACATAGATATACAGTTCTTGCATATTTGCCAAAGGCTAAAATGGTTCCAGTTTGGAAAGAAGTTATTCATTTTTATTGGACCACAAAAGTATACTTTTATCCAAAATCCCTTGTGATTTGGTTTGGAATTTTTCTAGAACCCCAGTGCTTTCCTGAGATTCCCACGACATGAAACAAAGTGGAGAAATGTTTTAAAAGTCTGAACCATTATTTTTACCTATTTACAAGTTCAGATTCTATTTTATGCATCATATTAGCTTCTATTTTAACAGCACTAGGTAGTGCAGATACGTCAGATACGTCTTCCTGTCTGTATTTAAACATGATATTTTTAGAGGAATGGCTGATTAAACTGTTCATTTTTTGCTAAGGAATTTGTACATATAGTTTTGCATCACGTCTTTGGTCACCCTCCATTGTCTAAATAAATAACAGCCCAATTTTAGGGAGAATGGGGGATGAATAACTTGGGTTGATACTTTGCCAGCCTGACCCTTAAAAAAGGTTTCAATAAAAATATGTTCTTTTAGTGATTTCATGATTTTGTTAAAAATATTTTGTAATGTGTCAAGACTCAATGCATAGTGTAATGACCATTCCTTTCAGGCGTTGTTTCCTAAAATTGACACTCGATGCTCTGTATCTCATGCAAATTTTGGAAAGTAACACCTTTAAGGGAATGGTCATTACACTGAATCCAGGGCTTAAATCCTTAACTATTCATTGTACAAATTAAAATTGAATGTTTGCATTGTGTTATTAAATACCCCAATCCCACCCTTGTCAGACAGGACATATTACATAAATGTGGTCAAATCATATTGATTTTATTTTTTAGACGATATCTACCTGATGTGTACTTTGGATTTGTAGAATTATTTGAACAGAAGAATTTTATACTAGAATTTCTGAGGCCCTCTGACTTCAGATAATTTTACAGTTTTACTATGGGATCTTAATGATTCAAAGTATATTTTATGTTATGGGGTGTTTAATGTGAAATGAATGTTAGTAACTTATGAAATGTCTTTGAACTTTATGATGAGACATAGGCTAGAATCAAAGTTAGAGAAAATGTTTCAGTAATTTAAGAGGTGAAGAGAAAGTAAAGCTCTAGTATAGGGTAAGCATTCCTAGGTGAAGATTTCAGATTTCAAGAAGCCATATATGTAATAATTCTGCGGATCAGTTTTGATTCATTTAGGTAGATCATTAATCTATTGTTTATGTTGGCTAATTATTAGTTGCTAATCTAGTTGGTAAATACCATGGAGATACCATAGTGCCTTATCTTGGTTGGCTGGTGGAGTTAAATCTAGGCTAGTAGTCTGAGTGATTCATCCCCACCCCCTGACATTCTACAGTATATAGTTGCACCTTTAACCCGACACATTAGAACACACACATACTTCACCTGAGCATAATAAGAGAAATATATGAGAATCATACTCGACTTGGATATTAATCAATCATAAAAAAGTTGATTTCATTGAATATGGATTATAATGGAGTAATTGCCTCACAAAGGAACTAATTATTGTCTGTACAATATCGATTCTTCTATAACAACTGGGATATTTATTTAGTTTAAATCGATGGAGATTAAACATGCAGGATTAATACCAATTTAGCAAAGGAATATTTTGATACTTCAGCAAGTGCAACAAGTTTGAAATAAAATATTTGTAGCATATGATCTGGCTACAAAAAAGCCACAGGGTTACTCTGTTGACCTAAGGTTGTATAATGATCAATAAAACAAAATTTGTTTGTCTGAACAAAACAAAGGAACTTTTTTCTTCCTAGGAAAACAAGAAATTCATTCTGACATTAAGAATGTTAAATTGTTAAAAAAATATATAAATAGGAAACAGATTTCGTCTGAAAATCTTGTGAGAAAAAAAGTTGTTTAATCAAGAGTTTTTATATAAGGAAATGCTGGAAAAATAATACTCAAAAGTGATTATTATTCTAATCTGAATATATACTAAACAATTGCCAGATTAATTTGATAAGTTAAAACTTACAATGGGACTCTTACCTAAAGGTAGGTGTTACTACTTTTAACAAAAATAGGTATAATACACAGACACTTTCATAATGTGGTGTTAGGTAAAAGTAATAGTCTAATATAACAGATGCACATAGAATCATATTTACTAATTAATCTCCTGATAAATTGTATTTCTACCCTTGCTTTTATGAGTTATAATATTTTTGTAGTGTTTTGTTCTAATTGAAATTTCTTTATATAAAAAGAATATACAGTCAATACAATACAAGATAATCAGGATATTTCATATGACTAATGGAATATTTATACATTGGCATTATCCTTTCTGGTGGCAAAATATAGATTTTTTCTCAGTCAACATTTAGATTTATTATATGCCCACTATGTAACACTAATTCCGATTGGTCAGTACCTAGTCACGTGTTCCGAAATAGGTTTACTCTTTCCCTTCGAAAGTTATATTCCGTCAAATGTAAGAAGCGGGAATATACATTTGAACTATGGCCCGCTGACGTCACGATTCCAAGTTCTATTACCCTTGGAACAGCTGCGCATCATCACTGCGCATATGAAAAAACAGAAAAATGGAGGATGAGCACAAATCAACTCCGTTCACTATGACAGACGTGCGTGAATGATACAATATAAGCAACGTGGATAAAGTTCCTCAAGCTCAATACGTCTGTGTAATTTCAAGTGTTATGATAATCTATTTTGTGCATTAAACGCGATTGAATTTGTCAAGTTAGAGTCTCAGAAATTTCTTAGGCAAAAATCTCTGTTGAGCAAATGATGACGTGAGCAAGTGACTGCCTTATTTTGAGCAATAGTGTAAATGATTTCCCCTTAGGACCCTCGGGGAAATAATTTACACTATTGCCCTCAATGGCAGTCACTATTTGTATACTATTCATCAATCGTTTTATTTTCTGATTATCTTGTCAAAATTAGCTTTCATAATTTCATAGCATCATTTCCTTTTAAACCATCAATGTCAGAATTGCTTGTACATCAAAGTTATTAGATATCAGTCTCCATGTTGTTGCCTCACATTTTAGTAATCATGCAGTGATCGCGTTGATGCCATTTTTGTCATTTTTACAGAAATTTCAGAAGGTTAGATGGAAAAATCAAAAACAACTTATGTCCCTAGGATTTTTACTGTAAAACGCTTTTATCATAGTTTACTTAATTTCTGTGATTTTTGTGAGGTATCACAAAAAGTGCATGTTTTACAGTGGTTGACCTGTGCAATTCAAAATTAGAGCCAACATCACAAATGGCAATAATATATAACTACAGTATGTTGTTGAAATTGAAATGTATATTGTTGTAATGCAGATATTCCTGTAATATAAGTACATGTGTATTTTAATATGTTTTCAGGTGTACAGTTTGAATGCAGCTTCACGCGCTGGTTGACACGGGCCATGTTTAGTCCGTTTCTTCTTCTAGTGCTGGTCACACCGACATTCCTTTCTATAGCAGGTAAGTGTCATCTGATTACAACTATGAAGGATAATTGCTTTGTAGGGACATCTATTTAGATGTTCACTAATTTGAAGGAGTATCTATCTGAAGTAATTCCTTTGTAGGGTCTCTTCTTTGTAGAGTCTCTTGTTTGAAGTCTCTTTTCGTAGGGTTTCTTTTTTGTAGAATCTCTTTTTTGAAGTTTCTTCTTTTAGGATTTCTTCTTTGAAGTCTCTTATTTGTAGAGTCTCTTCTTTAGTCTCTTCTTTGAAATTTCTTCTTGTAGAGTCTCTTCTTTGAAGTCTCTTCTTTGTAGAGTCTCTTCCCTGTAGTCTCTTTTTAGCCTCTTCTTTGTAGAACCTCTTCTATGAAGTCTCTTCTTTGTAGAGTCTCTTCCCTGTAGTCTCTTTTTTAGTCTCTTCTTTGTTAACCTCTTCTTTGAAGGTTCTTAGAGTTAATATTAGGTTATTTGTAATTCTTCACCCAGTCTGTATACATATATGGCTGACTATAGTTGATTCAGGTCCATGTACTCTTGAGTAGAGCAGTGGCCTCAATTTGTAAACTGCTCTGCAAAATTCTTTTTAATTTTAATTTTGGTTACCTATTTGTAAATAATATTGAAATTTTTTACTTGGTAGATTATCTTAACATTATATATATGTAAATAAAGTATTAGAAAACCAAATAGGTAACATTACAAAACACATGGGTAATTACTTTATTTGGAACATACAAAGTAATATTCCTAAAAACTTAGTAAGGATTTAGTATAAAAAGTCTATTTCCAACTCTGTACAGTCATATTAAATGCCAACTGAGCTTCACTATTGTAACATAACCATTGTTATTATGCATCTCTGAATAAATGAAGCGACTCTATACAATAATATAATTACTATTGTGAGCGTTTGATGATACTTGTATCCTTTTTATTGAAGCAGTTAGCTAATACAATATCAAATTATGTTTTCAGTTATACTGTATGTCTCATATATGTAAAAAAATCTCTGATATTATTTTGGGAGTCTTATCAAATTAGAATATTAAGGATAAGTAGAGAAAGATTTGAATTAATTTATGTTTATGTTATTAATAAGTAATTTTTCAATAAGTTAAATTCATCGAGATGTCAAATTATTTTCTGAATATGTATTAATACGTATCTTCATTTCTATACCAGGCAACCACTTGTTAATAAATGCCTTGCTATATAGCTTTTAACAGACATTCATCAGACAAGGCTTTTATCTATCAATAACAGTCTGGGACTAATATATTCATCCAACATAACTAGATAGTGTCTTAAAAATGCCTTGAAATTGATATTCACCATTCGGGAATAGATCTTGATGTTTTATTTTTGGTAATTTGTTGTTTTCTGAAATTGTTGATACATGTTATAATATTCTAATGAGGCAATAGACACACACCCTTCTCACAATGTTAATTATGCTTGCCTGACCTTGCTCTATAAATCTCTAAAAGCTGGAAAATGTTCTATCATTTCCCTCAAGTTCTCTATTGTATAGTTTTTGCAACAACTTGTTGTTCATGCAGTTCTTTTTATTTAGTTGTTTTCTTGTAATTTTCATGGAAATTCATGACTTCAGCTATTTTCCATGCAAGGGTAAGCAGTTTGCACCTATGCAGCCAAAATATCTGTTCCAAGACAACCGCCCATACTTAAACATATAATCGTGCACAAGTGTCTTCCTGGATTATACCAATATGGCCACCAGTGAAAAAAGCCACTTCCTTTCCCCTTTTCACAGATTCTGCTTTACCTCTTCTGCAATTCAGCACATTTGGATTATAATAAAGTGTTCTCAGCTGGTCGGAGAGATAGTTGTGTTTTGGGATGCTATTCTATTTAGCTTAGAGAAAACAAAACAGTTCACCCACACTGATTAAAATCAACTTGAATGCTCACTTGATCTTAGAACTACTGGTTATTACCCTGTTGCCCTGGAGTTTGTCATAGTTACTAATATCCAGACTATAATACAAGAAAAAACATTAATCGTGGCACTCAAACATCTTGATGTAGAGTTTTATTGAAAGTTACATTTGATGGTAAAGGGAGGTCCAAACAGCAAGAATATATGAGGTTTAATTTGTAAAAGGTTGGGGGTTTAACTTCAAAGAAATCATCTTTTGCTAGTTTAGCATCAAGTCTTTGATCACCTACTTTTATTTTTCACAAGAAGGCCACATATTTCATTCTAAACCAACCCTCCATTAAATTTCCATATCCCACACCAACCATCACATAACTAATTATCCTGTGAAACAGAAAAGGAGATATAATGTTAATACAATGTATATTTTATTTTTCTCAGTCTCTTTCAAAATCAATATAATTTCCCCCAACGGGGTTTACACACTCATTGATAGGATTCTATTTTCAATCTGAGAATCAAATAAAACAAATGTTTCCTATTTTCTTACTGTAAATGTCAATATAAATTGTGTCAATAAATTTCTAACCAGATAAATCTTAGCTAGTAGGCCAGGTATCTTTGAGTTAGTGAGGTCAGAGACTGGGAGAACTCAGGGAGTTTAATAAACATAAGATGTTGATTTAAGGCTGAATGAAAAAAATTGCTAGAACAATATAATTTTGTCGTACATGTAATGATTATTTTGCCATGAGTGTTGAAATGTTACTTATGATATTTCTGTAATGTTTTGAATTGATTTTTATGTTAAATCAAAACAAATATGGATCTATTTCCTCAACCAATTCTTCAAAAATTGACATTCTTGTGTTTTGTTTGTGTATGTTTGCAATATGGTTCTACGAGGGGTCCCTGTTGGCTGATTCTCCAGGAGGTCTTGGAATTAAGACATATTATCCACTTCAAGGTGGCTCAGCTTCCCAATCAAACCATATTATCTGAGGATCACCTACTAACACAACACACATCTGCAACTTGAACACAGATTTGCTACCTTTATCAGCGCATCGGGAAATATTGAAACATTTAGCGATCTTTGGTGGTTTTAAGGGGGGATTTATATTAGTAGATGGCATGATGGAAAAACCTGAATGATTTTGATTTTCATGTGTATCACTGGAAATTCAACCAGAAATCCCTATCCAACCTGTCTTTCTGCCTGTTTATCATGTTCTGCTAAGCCCTTTTGCTTATTAATGCAAGGGGTGTCATGTGTTATTTGTTCTTTAATTAAAAATCTGCCCTCTTAATGGGAAGGTCTCTGAACATTGACTTATCCAAAGGCCAGGTGAGAGAGTATCATTGACAACATTATTTTGGAAGTGTAAAGATAAGGAGTCTCACCTAGCATGGCTTCAGGAAAGATGAAGTATCGGGTAAATGTTTCCATTCATCTTAGATCTCTCGTTGTTTCTACGATCAGGTTCCACTGAATTAGGCGGGGCAGACTCACCTTGTGGCCTCGTGGCATGCCACATCTCAGTTAACTATCTCAGAACTATTTTCTTGATTTATCTTGGTAAATCTTAAAGTACTTATACCTAACTGTGTTTTCTGATGGTAGATTTGACACACACTTTTTGATCTAGATTCATGTTAGTTATCACTTGTAACTATCACTAGTACATGACAAGCAAATGTCCTGAAACATGTAACATGATTGGATGTCAGTTGGGTGGTTATTTGATGGCTCAACGGCCAAACATGAATTGTAGATGTAGATGGTAGTGATATTATTGCTGAATTGGCAGACATGACTGAATCGCCACCAACTGCGTTAGGGAGTGATTATGAGGCGGTTGTTTCAAAGGCCAGAGGTGAAGGGAGTTATCTCAAGCAGTCAAGCCATATGGTTTAGTTACATAACAGGTTGCTTTTTACGTGCATACATCTAACAGTTCAAATATTTTCTTTGGTTCTGCTAAGTGTATAGAGATTGCAGTATATTTGTTGAGTTGCATTCTACAGGTATCGCACAGGGATACCAGTTTAGCAAGATGTTACTATTTTTGTAGCGGCCAAGATATTGTGTTCTTGTCTAGACTAAGATATGCCCGTACCTAAAGTTTCTCCGCTGGCAAGCATATTACACATCCCTCTCAAAAATTTGAATGAGAAATCTGATTTTCTGACATCTCTGTATAATTCAGAGTGTTACCTACACCCTGTATATTTTATTCCTTCCTAGTTCCATTCTTTTTTATTTTATTTTTCATTTTTAAACATGATCAAAAGTTCTGTTATACCACTTTAAAAAATGTTAAATACATTAAAAAATATGCAATGAGATAGACATACATATCATGGAACATTCCTTCATGGGTTTATTTGGAATATATCGCTTGTTGTACTCACATGCATTGCTTATGAAACAACTATTGTTTATGGGGGTTTGCTGTTCAGCAGGCTACATAAATAAGGTCTATACATTCACCTGATAGTATGTACTTTCAAATAGATTATCACCTTTAAGTTTTCACACTATTGTTGCTATATCAATCTAATACACAACATTGTGGGTTTATTGTTATCAATATTCCAAGTCAATATGATCCCGTTTTTGGTACATTTGTTTAAATCTTAATTGGAAATGTTGATAATGATGAAAGAGTTCTGTGAGTTGATAGTGGCTGGTTGTCAGTCAGCAAACTAAGACTGAATGTAGAAAATAAAACAATTGTAAAGAATGGTGTAATGTCAATAGAATTGAAAATTTGCTCTATGCCATTAGCAAATTCAACCACTGTCTGATGACCAATGGTTTGGTTAACTAATTTATGGTGAACTCATTTAAATATGAATTGTACCTGCTACTATTCATATTTATGTAAGTTCGCCATAAAATAGCAAGCAAATCAGCAGCCAACTGTTGGAAGTCGAATGTGCAAATGCTACCTAAATCTCCCAATCCTTAAAATTTATAGGAAGTATTATTTTAGATGTTTCTATTTGGTAGGTAGGTTGTTTTGCTCTGTGGCATGTTGCTTACTTTAATGAGCTATAAATAAAATATGATTTAACAGCTGAAAAAGAAAGGTTAAATTCTTCGTTCCTTTG